CTTAGATAAAAAGTTATAACCATTTAAAAAATTGAAACACTTCGTGTAACTGTTGAGTATAGATTTCCTGCACCATAGCTAGAATTTTTTTTTTATGTTTTTTTTAAAAATACTAAAATTTTTATTAAGGATAAGTACCTCTATTACTAAAAATTTAACATATTGTTAATTGATATTTATTAAAATTTTAATTATATATATATTTATATATAAAGAAAAATTAGTTTAAATATAGTTAATCTTTAATTTTACTATAAAGTTTTTTTAAAAATTTTTAAAAATTTTGAAATTTTTATGTTTTTGAAGAGAAAAAATCTTTCTCTATTAATAAAAGTTAAAATTCTAATTATAAAATTATGAAAATTTTTATAATAAAAATTGTTTACAATAATTTAAGCTATAATTTGTATCAAAATTATTGGGTACTTACTCTTATAATTTTCAAAAGTTGGTCAATGATTAAAAATAAAATTTTTAAAAATCTAAAATTTTTAAAAATTTTAAATTTTTTTTAGCTTATAGCCAAGTTAAATTTTTTTTGTAGAAATATAAAAATTAGTCAATATTTAAAAAAATTTTTTTAAAATAACAATTTTTGATAAAGAATAAATCAGAACCAATTTTTATAAATTTTAGCTTGCAAATTTGCCAGTTAAAATGGACGGTTTAAGGAATAATAAAAATATTATCTAAGTGCTGCTATTAATAGAAAGAGAAAAGACATTGCTATATTTAATCTTATAGAAAAAAGGAATAGGTGTAATTTTAAATTCTTTATTAATAGTACAAATAAATTACATATGATGTTAAATAAAAGTTTAACTACAAACAAGAAATGTGTTGGTCTGATTAATAATTTTGGTTCAATTAATAAAGATTATTTACTGGTTACAACAGGTATCAAAATTATATTAATAGATATTTGGATGATTAGCAAACTAGATATTATGGTTCAAATGTTCCGAAATTAGTTGGTGTAAAAAGAAAAATAATAACTGTAATATTCGAATACGTGTAGGTTATAATGTATAAATTCGTATAATTCTTATTAAAATAGCAAGAATATGCTGAAGGCACGTGTGTTGTTATTATCTTGTCGATGATAAACCATTACGATTCCAATTAAAATAATTCATATTCAAATATTGGACATGAAGATATTAATGTAAACAGCACAATATATTTACAGGATACTTTTTTAAGGACCCTACATCCCTATCAGGAACAGTATGACCCTATCAAGAACCCTCCTAGCCCACAAAAATTGTTCCCTCCCGTGATTTTTGATCAATCAAATTTCACAAAAAAAAAAACAGAAATAATTCGAAATTTTAATTAAGAGAGCACCTTCTGCGGCCTAATTAAAAATGCTCCTCGTGAAATTTTACTAATAGAAATAACTCTATCACCCTAACCCTAATCCTGACCCTACCCAAACTACAACGCTGTTTTATTCTTAGTAAAAATTTACGCGGGGACAATTTTTGTGCGCTACCTAAGAGAGTGGTATGCAGATCTTTTTTTTTTTTACCCATATCGACCATCCATCAGGAATAGTAGTTTTGCGATTAATTGAAATTAAAGTGATCCTTATAACAATTTATAGTGCGAAATGGACTCCCTCTGTGCTAATGATTGAAGATCGTGCACAAGTGCTATGATTAATTGAAGTAATCCTCACGTCAATTTTTGCTGAAGGTTCATATTGCGAAATGCGGATATTAAATTTTAGCCAATCGGCCATCTTTTTTTTCATCGCGGTATAAACTTACCTGGCCGGCTAAACTACTTCCACTAATAAAAATTGTGTACCGAACTGATGTTTTAGGTTTTTTCGACCTAAATGATAATCACAATCGAAGCTTTTAACCAATCAGGTGTTCAATAAACTCATTGTGGAATGCGTTTGAGAACACTTACATGAGTAAACATATGAAGTTTGAAAAATTGCATGTAAGTTACATCGTAAAATTACATCGAAATTTAATGTACATTTACAATCATAACCCTAAATAGTGTAACATAAATTTTTTCAGGAGATAAATCCGACAAGGTGAAAATTTAAATATTCACTTCTAGGTTTTAATTTGGCAACACTCATATAATAATGAGTGGACTAGAAGATACATTTATGTGAATTCTTTGCTGGTTATGAAGACAAAATGATAAATAAATAAATATATCAATTATCTATGCTTCTTCTAAATTTTGGTATTTATGCTTTTGACGTTTGAGTGTAATGGCGCGATGAATGTTAAATGCATCTTTTTCAGGAGATACTTTAGTATGCCTTTGCTTATATATATCCCACACCTTTTGCGAAACGAATATGACTTCCCATACAATATCAATAGGATTCAAAGCATCCATTAAACCTTTTAATACTGGTGTTCTGGTTCTTTTGCCATAATCACGAAATGGTTTGTATGGAAATGCATAAACATGTAGAAAGGCAAAGATCATCATCTCAAAGCAGATTATCAGAGAATTTATGCCACGGCTGATATTGGCTTTCGTCCTTATGAATAAAGGCAAAGTCGTTAGCAAGTTCAATAAACTTAGTTTTCTATATAAAGATAATAGAGATCAATACCAATATTGACTTTCATGAATTACACCTGTTAAATTTTGTTAGAAAATTATTCATAAGGGTTTATATAAATAAGCGACATCATGTAGCGAAAAATGAGTTACCAGCACTTGCCAAAATTGAGAGAGTAACAGCTTGCCAAAATGAAAAGAAAACCACCTTTTAAAAAAAAAAAAAAATTAAAAAAAAAAATTAAATCACAAGGAACGTTGTTGGCAATTATTTGAAGCAAAGAAATGGAACAAAGAAAATTACCAGCTTAACACAAAGTAGTTTAAAAAATGGCTTTTCTGAGGCAATGGCATCTTTGATTGCTGAATAAAATACAATCTACAAAATTTTGTAAATCATACGCGTGATAAATAAATAAATTTTACAATCTTAGTACTCACCAAAGCATACATCGCAACGGTGACACTTAGAATCTGTAAACTCTTTAAATAAATTTTTGCAAAAGCAAAACTCATGCTTTCTGCGCAATAAACACCCGTGGCTTCAGTAATCAGGGTCGCAAGTGTAATAAGTGGTATCAATACAACGTATTGTAAAATGCCCCATTTAGCAATATTTAAGAACCTTTCATTTGTTGGTCTATATCTATAACACCAAAGAGGAAATGAGCATTTCTCTTTTATTTTGGCCAACTCTTCCTTGTTTTCTTCGGGCGCATCTTCAACATATTGCGTGAGGAGAGCGAAGAATGCGGCAATAACGAATGCTTCATAACAGTCTCGAACGGCTTCGAAGTAGATGTCATAATGAAAGAAACGGTATGATAACCAAGATATAACAGCATATATGGGAACCATCAAAATAATTCGAACGACATGCCGTTGATATTTTTCCTAGGAAAGTATTAAATTATATACTCCATGTAAATAATAATTCTCGTCTTGTAGAATAAAATTTTAAGCCATACTAACACGGTGATAATATTGTGAATGCTTTATTATTAAATATATAGAAACAACCGTCGCTACAAATGCACACACGCCCGACACAGTCCAACCTATTCTATGGGCTAAAATTGGAATTTTATCAATGATTAATTTTGAATTAGTAGAGAACGAACGAATAAAATTATTTACCATCCCAATGTGGACCATTGTCCCAGAAAACTGATGGATCATTATCCGCCATATTTTCTGTAGGACATGTTCTGTTTACCAAATCATCCATTTCGGCCTGTGTAAACGAAATGTAAAAATTATTTATTTGTAAAGAAATCGATTATGTACATGCGTACGTATTATATTCAGTATTCGAATGGTTTAATAACGATAACGGAGAATGGGCTTAATATGGAAAATTCTTATGATGTTTACGCGATTGATCACCACACAGCCATAACAGTATTACGGGAAAGCCTCACTGATTTTCAATGGTTATTACCTTTTATGAATACGCGATAAAGCATTGTATATAGTTATATATCGATATTGATTATTAGTCGATAGGAAATTCAATATCAGGTGCAATATAAAATATTACAAAGGCTTAAGAATACATCTTTTATTCTCTGCAGTTCGGGCATAAAAGGTACTGATAATTTCGGTCAACATTAACTATGTCGGTATATGTCAAAAACGGTAAATTACCGGAGATTGATAAATATCACTAGATATGTGTTACGTCAACATCTTGAATTAAAAAACCTCTACTAGATAAAACGGGTAAAATGAATTTATAAAAATATGCTTTCCGTATTTATCCAACTTCTATAACTAAATTGGATATGAGGTTGGATAGTAAATATGACCCTAGCGCAACAATTTAAAACATCTCGCTAATTATGGGGACCCGTCAAAGCCAGGTACGTACGTACGTACGTACTTTTACATATTGATCTACACATTGCATAAATTCTATTCTTGATACAAGTCACTCTCTTTATAGTGAAGTCCACGGACAGTAAAAATTTCTTCACTATATTAATAGATTCACTATATCAAGAGCCCTTTAATATAATACGTAAAGACAATAATCAAATATATTACATATAGCAATATAACAAAAAATCTGTTAATTTAATTGGTTAATAAAATATTATAAAATATAAGTTATTTTGTTATAAAAATATTCAATATAGCTTTTATCGAGAGTTGTTTGAGCTTTAGTATAGGTGGGTATAGAATTATTATAAAATTATTATATAAAAATTAGCTATTTTGATTTAAATTAAGCAAATTTATAAATAGCTAGATCAGAGTAAAAGTTAAAGTTCATATTTGCTTAAAATAAATAGTTTTTATATATTATAATTTTAAAATAATTTTATATACTCACTTATATATAATTATATAAAATTTATATATTAAACTTTTTTAATTAAAATAGATACTGTATTATAAAAGTAATTAATAAAAACAAGCAAATTATTTATATTAGATTAACAAAAATTGTTGTAAATTCAAAGCCTATTAATATAATATAGCAAAAAAATAAGTATTTTTTAATTAACATTTTAATATAAATTATATATCGGAAAAAATTTTTTTAGTGCTATTCTGCGCAGATTCGCAAATAATAAATTAAATAAAAATTTGTGCAAAACTTCAAGCTTATTAGCCATAGCTACAGAAATTAAATACTGTACAAAATTTCAAAATAAAAAATTTTGTAGTTTTTTGCAAAAAATTTTGCAAAAATCTGCATTTTTGCAGATTTTTGCAAATTTGTACTTATTTAATTTTCCTGATATAATAGTTAATTATAATAAAATTATATAGCAAACAAAATAAATATTTTTTAATCTAAAGTTTATTATAAACTATATAATAATTTTTTTTCTAAATTTAGGCAATTTTATTAAAATTTTAAGTACATACTAATGCAATATGGGGAGAGTCAGTAGAAATGTGACAAATTTATTAGATAAATTTGGCCTATTTCTACTAACTCTTCCCTATATATAAAAAAGTAAATAACTTTTACAAAGTATTATATGAATATATAATAGTCAAATAAATAGATTTTTTATAAATATCAAATTTGATATGATATTACACCTTTAATTTTCTATTTTAAAGCTAATTTAAGTTAATAAACTACTATTAGCTAAAAAAAAGCTGGGAAAAATCTTGTTTAGAATAAGATAATAAGATATATATATATTAAGATTGGGTAGTTGTAATCGAGTTAGAAAGAATGTTATAAGACAAGTAATAATAAAAATAATAAAGAGTAGAGTTAGAAGAAAAATAAAAGATAGCAAAAAAAAAAAAACTTGAATTTATAGCCCTGCAGTACTATACTTGAATTATAGTATAAAAAAATTATAAAAAGCTATAAAAGTAATAATTAAAAAGGTTAAAAAAAAATTAAAAATAATAAAAATTAGATATTCTTATTAGTCAATAATGCTATTTTAGTATACTGGGTTAACATACTACCAGTGAAGTCAAATATACAGCCTGCAGTACTATATGCCCTAACTATTATATTACAACTAACAGGATTATAAAAATCATTTTTGTATATTTTTAAAATTTTGATTTAGGTAGGATTTACTAATAAGATTGCTTGATTTGATCTTGTGTTGATTATTAGAAAATTTTGTATTGTGACATGGGTTATGAATAATAATACTGCAGAAGGCTGTGTATGTAAAATTTGAAGAGGTGGCTCTTAAGTAGCACCAACATCCAGTAATAGACTTTATTGGAAGGATGGTATGAAATAGTATATCCAGAAGTGGTGAAAGAAGCGATAAACACAGTAAGAGGCTATGGTAAAAGAATAGCTTTACTAAATATGAAATATCTTTGGTACAAGAAAACAAGGAAAACTGGCTATAAGAAACTCCAAAAAGTATAGATGCAAGTACTCTGGTAGTACAAAAATAAAGATAGTTAGTAAGTAATATGTTGCACAATTTATATAAAAGTTGATGACAAAACATAGTAAAAGCGTAAATTCTAAATTACTAGCTTGTGACAGTAATTAAATAAGGTACTTAACTCCTGTTTTAAGAATCTAGACTTCTGTAACACTATACCAATAAGAAGTACATAAAAGAAGTGGTAGTTTAATTTGGCAGTGTATAACACAAATACCTAGACTAACATGAAATAACTCTCCTAATGGCGGTAGCGGGTGGATTGAGATATGGGTCTTATGATGATAGTAGCACCTAGCTTGAGATACAGATTAGAACTTAAAGTAACTCCTTTAGGGACACCAAACTAGAAGCAATAAGAGTGCCCACTTGAAAGATACCAGTTTAAAAGTAAAACAAGAAATGAATTAGGAGTAATGTAATATGAAAGGTAGAAGTTGGTTGGTGGATATTGTATAGTAGTATATAAGTAGGATATATATGATACAATAGGTTTGGAAACCATCTAGTAATCTAGTATAGAGGTAATATATTAATCCAGATTTATTTATAAATTCAGATTAATCCGAATTTTAAATAAATCCGGATTAATTCGAATTTTAAATAAATCCAGATCCAATTTTTAGAACAAGTAAATCTGAACATAGTTTAAATCTAGATATAATTTTATATCTGGATATAATTTATATCTGGATATAATTTTATATCCAAATATAATTTAAATTCAGATATATATATTCTGATTCTAATCTGAATGTGATTATCTATAAAAAAAGTTGGCAGGTTTAGGTTTTAACTTGAATACGTACCTCCTTTTTTTTACCCAATTCGCTTGAGACATAAATAATACATGCAGTTGTGTGTAAATATACGTGTAGATACATGAACATCCATATATAAGATATAGTAAGTTTTAGAAATAATTGGCTTTTAAATTTAAAAATGTAATAAAAAGACATGAACGGTTTTCTCTAGAGTGTTTAATCTTATAATGATAATGATAATATAATTAATAATTCATATAGTGATAGTATTACGATTATGCATACATGCGCACCCAATCAATAGTAATCTAGATACTATTCTATAATATATAAACTAATGGGTTTACTTGTTACAATGTATATACGTACGTACGTATAGTGATAATAATAAAAAAATGTCTTCCCAAAATAAATTACAAGAGTCTCAAGAGTCTCAAGAGTCCCAAGAGCGGTCTTTATTACATTACTCTCATTAAGAGAAGATGCCTCTTCAACAGTACAAAGTTCTGCTCCTAGTGAATATAATCAGTTTACTGAAACTTCTAAAATTAGCCAGAAGAAAAGACAAACTTCTAAAAGTATAGTTCCATCAACCTCATCAAATACCTCTGCCCAAATAAAAGCTCCAAGGGCAAATGCTAGTTATACTCATTTTTTTTTTGAAGACAATAAAGTAGATAATACTATTAGGTATTGTAAAATTTGTATTAAAGAACTGGAAGGGTCTCAACTTAGTCCTTACCCATATACCAAGTCTGGAAATAGTACAAGAAATTTAACACAGCATCTTTGTAACAAGTATAAGATTTCAGCAAAAAATTATAAACGTCATCTTGATCCTCAAAAACAAGTAAGTAGTTTAATGCTGAATTATTTGTTTAAATATTATATTCTATAAAGTCTTAGAATTCATTATATTTATAGCTAAAAGTATCTGTTAATCAAATCATAAATTACATGAATACCCTTTCATCTAAACGACAATCTGAACTTACAAAATATGTGGTGGAATTTATTGTGTATAATGTACAACCTTTACATGTATTAAAATGTTTAGCATTTCATCGAATGCTCTTAGCTTTTCAACCTCAGTATCGGATACTGTGTGCAAACAGTATTAAAGGATATATTTTAGACACTTATGATGCAGGAATAAATTAACTTCAGGAACTATTGGCTAAAACTGCCATTAGTGTTTATTTAACTACAGATTTGTAGATGGCAAAAAGCAAATACAGATATTTGGGTGTTACTGCGACCTGGCTTACACCTAACTTTAAGTTCCAAGAAGCGTTACTTACATGTCACCATATGCCTTATCTGCATACTGGTGAAAGTATTAGCAAAGAGCTTCAAAATATAATTCATGATTGGAATCTAGAAAATAAAGTATATGTTATTACTACTGACAATAGTGCAAATATTGTAAAAGGAATAAGGTTATTGAATGATGATTATTTATTAGAAGTTACTCGGCAACCTTGTGTTGCACATACCCTTCAGTTAACTGTCAAAGAAGGATTGAAGCAAGTTAAACCTATACATTGGTGACTTAAAAGTATTCAGGCATTCTTTTGTCTTCCAAAACAAGCATAGCGATTACAAGAGTCACAAATGCTTATTAATTCAGAAAATTTACTCCATGATGATGGTATGAATAATTCTCTTGAAGTGTTAACGAATTGCAAGACTAGGTGGAGCTCATTCTATTTAGCTTGGAAAAGAATTCTAGAACTGCATCCAGCAATGTGTACACTGGCTGTGTCATTACAGAATAAACCAAATACAGCATTAAGAAAGGAAGGTGAAAAACTTGATCAATTATGTTTAACTTCTGAAGAAAAAAAGTATGACTTATTTTAATAATTCTATTTTTATATCAATAATAAAAAATTATTTGTATTATTATGTTATATTTTTAATAAAAAATTTTATTTAAAGATTACTTGAAGAAATGGTTAAAATTTTAAAACCTTTTGAAGAAATAACAAGGCATGTTTGTAGTGCAAAATACCCTACAATAAATTTTGTATATCCATATGTTCGAATGTTAAAAAATAAATATGCTCCAATAGCTGAAAAAGATAAATCTATTGAATCTTGGTTAGATCTTATCTACAGACCCTCATCAGATTTTGAGGAAATTGCAAATAGTGATACAAGTGTTAGCAGTGATGACGAAGCTGACATACCATCAGCTGGAAGTAAAAAGCAATGGCAATATACGCATGCTCATCAAAGTACATACTGTTGAGAACAAGGTTATAATCGTGTAAAAAAAATATAAAAAAAATAAATAGAATAGAAGAAGTAGATGATTCAGATGTAGTAAGATATTTACCTTCTGCAAATTGTGATGGGCTCTTAGAAAAAATGCTTGTCACAATTTATTTGTCTCTTGATGAATTATGAGATATTACTCATGAAATTGGATTGAAAGCTTCTCTGTTAGATTTGCATAATTTGAAGTTACTTTCATTTGCTCTCCTACTGAACGAAGAAATATAGAAAATCAAATTCGTGAAGAATTACTTGTATTAGAACCTAATCGTAGTAATAGTAATACAGAAAGAACACAGACTACTATAGAGAAGGATTATGATTCTTTGAGCGCTAAGTTATGGGGCCCACATTTAATACCTGTTCTACAACAAAGTACTTGAGAGAACAAATTGCACCTAAGAATCAAAACCCTTTAGTATGGTGGGAAGAAAGATGTGCAAGTTTTCTGTTGCTTTGTCAACTTGCCCGTAAGTACTTATCTGTTCCTGCAACATCAGTTCTATCCGAGCAGTTATTTTCTGATGCTGGTACCCATATTTCAGCAAGAAGGACTTGCCTTTCTCCGGATTTAGTAAACCAGATGCTGTTTTTAAAAAGAAATAGTAGCAATTTTTCAATTTTATCATTAGACAATGAATAGTCTTTCTTATGAAAAGTGATACTAATTCATTGATTAGATTTGTGTGCCCATATTTCTAAAGATTGTGTAAGTAATAATAAAATAATAGATTTTTGGAATTAGATGACAAAAACTTATTGTTTGTGTTTTCTTGACTTTAAAATTGATTATTAAAGAGCATGAATCAAAGTGTAATCATTTTAGCCTAAAAGAGTATAAGGTAATATTTATTCAATTATACTTACAAAGAATTTTTACAAAGATTTAACAATGCCTTCAAATTTTGAAAAAAAAATTGTAATATATATTGTATTTAATATAAGAACAATATGTTACATATTATTCAAGTTTAATAAATGTAGTTTTTTATAAAACATACTACTATTAGCAATTATTCAAATTGATCTATATGTGCGTACATACGTATATACGTAACATATCTATGTATATAACATACCTATGTACTGTACATAATATTTACATTAATTAGCAGATCTTAAATTATATATTGATATCGATATGGATAAATTACAAATCAGCCTCAAGTAGCCCAGGATTTATGATATGATATAATTAAATCCAGATATAATCATTAATTCAGATATAATTATAAATCTAGATATATATATCCAGATTTGTTTTTATATCCGGATTAATTATATCCGAATTAAACCCGGATTATATTTTTAATTACTAATTATATCTGGATATAAATATAAATCTGGATATTAACTCTAATCTAGTAACTAGTTTAATTGCAGGGTGGTTATTAAGGAGATAAAAATCTCATATAGCAAGTTGCATATAGGTACTTAAATTAGTAATTAGGTGAGCTAATATATATAATATATATTAAATAGTTGTAAATGTATTCATGATATTTGTAATGAAAAAATATCTTAGTATAAATCTAATAAACAGTATTGGCAAGACTGCTGAATTTAAAAAAATAAAAATAAAATAATATGCTACTAATAAAACTTTTTATAAAATATAAATAAACTAATTTATCTATTATAATAAGATTTTAAACTACAGTGCCAGACAAACGTTTCCCTGCACCTATATCTCCTCATGGAGAGATGCTATGATCTTGAAATTTTTAGAAACATTAGTACATATGTAGATTAGGTTGTGTATTTTATAATCACTAGAAAAATTTTTAGATAAGAGCTAAATTTGAGATGTTTTTTGTCTAAAAAAATTTAAAAAAATAATTAAATTCAAAGAAAATTTAATATATTGTCAAGGATAAAAGCCAAAAATTCTAAAAAATTTCTATATTAAAATTCAATCATTTCTGTAGTAGTAACAAAAATTTTGACTTGATTTGATAAAATACTGTAGTTATTGAGAAATTAATTCTTAAAGTTTTGAGTTTTATTTTTATCATATTTGATTTGTCGATATCTGACTATTTTTGTGCTACAAACATTTTTCACAAATATCTCGTGTTTCAATAGTCCAAATTTGATGATTTTGGTATTATTCGAATTGTCTTGATGAGACAATTTGAATGATATCAAAATTATTAAATTTGGATTACTAAATATCGAGATAGTTCGGTTAAAAAAACTTTTACTTTATAATTTTTAAAAATAAAAATAAAAATTTAAAAATTAATTTCTCAACAACTATCTCATCAAATCAAGCTAAATTTTTTATCACTACTACAGAAATCATTAAATTTTAATAAACTAATTTTTGGAATTTTTAGCTTTAAGCCTTAACAATATATTAATTTTTCTTTAAATTTAATTAGTTTTTTTATTTTTTTAAAAAAAAGCATTCCAAATTCAGCTCTCATATAAATTTTTTTCTAGTAATTAAAAAATCTTCAAAAAATGTACACAATCTAAACTATGTATGTACTAATTTTTGAAAAAGTTTCAAAGCTATAGCACCTCTCTATAAGGAGATATAGATGCAGGAAAACTTTTATCAGACACTGTATTATATTATTTTAAAAAAATATACTTATATATATTACAAAGGTTTTTTAGGTTGGCTCAAAATTTTCTGGAGTTACACAAACTTGCCAAATTTGATTGGCTGATTTATGTTTATCTATAAGTTAATTTTATTATAAATTTTTATATCTCATCTTTAAAAATTTATATCTTACCAAGTTTTTAACCAATTTCAATGATTTTACTACTATTAAAATCAGAAAAACCTTTCATAAGAATTAAAATTAGTTTAGTTAATATAATTTTTTGTAAAATTAAATATAAGCCAAATTTACTATTAAGTTTATATATAATTTTAAAATAGTACTTTTTACCTTTAAAGATTAGATTTTGTTTAAACTTAGTTTAAGTTTTAATGGCTATCTATTTTATATTTGTACTAAATTTAGTATAGTAAAAAAAATATTTTTTAAGCCAATTATTTAATAAATTTTATTCAAATTTTATCAAAATAAAATTTAATATTTGTGTATAATTTAAATAATATTTATTAATAAAAATTTTGTATAAATTAGGTTTAAAGTTATATTTTTTTGAAAATTTTCTATACTTAATTTAATACAGTAATAAAAATTAATTTAGCTAAAAATTTCTGATAAAATTATAAAAATATAAAATTTTTAAATTATTTTAGTTTTAATTTAATTGTAAAAAAAAATTATTTTATTTAAAAAATAATTTTTTAAAGAAAATTACTTAGTATATAGAGTGTTTGAAACATAGGTATAATTTTATAATTAATTTTTATTAAAAAAATATAAGTAACACAGGTTGAATAAATCTATACCAGTTAACTATCAGGTTCTTGATAGGTCTCTGATTTTTGTATTATAGAAACATGCTAGCTTACTAGTAAAGTTTTTCTAAAAGTATCCGATTTGTCTCTGATTATAAACAGATCTTTGGATGAGGTGTAGTGGCTTAGTGAAGTGGTCAAGTCGTCATCCTCTCCAAGTAGCAGGTTTAGGGTTCAAATCCCACGGACGACGAAAGTTTGAAAAATAGGCTTGCATTATAGTAACGGATCTTCATTAAGTTGGGGCTTAGATCAACCTGTAACTTCGGGTCACACCAATGCTCTGTATTGGAAAGTTGTCACTGTCGGGCGTCTGCGTACTACCGAGTAGATATAGGATGTCCCGATAGTGTTGGTAACACTGAGGAACGAGAAGATTCTGGAACCTGCTTGGCAAGTCCCGAGTTGGG